CAGATTTTCAAATTTCCTGCTTCGTGGAAAAATCTGCTGGATATTATGAGGCTGTAGGCTGAATATGGATACTCCAACAATACAGAAGAACTTTGGGTAACTGTCCAAGCAGAGATGTCTCTGTCAATTCTAGAGTTTTGGAAGTTGATTACAATGCACCTCTTGTTTACTTAGGTAATATTATATCCTCCTGGGGTCTTTGATAGTGTTGAAGAATAGTTATAATTATAATTTTCCTTAGTTATGATAAAAGATAAAGTAGATATAAATATTGCAACTGTAATTCCTGCTTGATACTTGTTGTTATATGTAATTTTACTATGTTAAAGTTAAAACCTTCCTTTTTATTTAAGTAGAAAAAAGGAAATGGTGTGGGAAGTCCTTTTGTATATGTGTTGCTTTTATTGGTTAATAAATAAAAAATCTGCCTTGGCCCGTGATAAGACAGAGTAGAACTGTGCAGGGAAAACTAAACTGAATGCTGGGAAAAAGAAGGCAGAGTCAGGGAGACACCATGTAGCTACCAGAGAGGAAAGATGTGAGCTGTGGTTATTTTGGGAGTCTGGGCAGCTGGGTAACAAACAAGCAGCCTCCTACAACAGAAGCAGAACTCTCATACACCACTAACAAGATATAAAATGATATAGCAGTTGGGGATGTAGCTCAGTTGGTAGCATGCTTACTTAGCATGTACCAAGCTCTGGATTCAATCCCCAGCACTGCATACATTGGGTGTGATAGTAGAAGACTTAATTCTAGCACTTGGCATGCAGAGGCAGGGAGATCAAGAGTTTAAATTCAACCTTGGCTATATACCAAGTTTGAGGCCAACCTGGGCTACATAAGACTTTGGTCCCAAAATATAAAACAATAACCCAAAAAATAGTATGGTCACTTCATAAAGTACTTTCTTAGACAGTTAATTACACACAGCCAAGGAATTCAACTCATGAGTATTTACCCAAATGAACAAATAACCTTGCACACTTACAGTGCTGTGAGATTTTCTGATATTTTTTTCTCTGCGTCTAAGGATGCAGACTTGGCGGCCAAGGGCACTGGGCTGCATCTGCCTCTGCCTCTGGGTCTAGAGAGAGGAAGCTGTTGCCCACGTTGGGCAAATGGTCATTGAAGTCTTTCCCTTCACTGTGCCCCACAGCCTCCTAGCAAACCTTCATCTCTGTCCTTACCTCCCCTCTACATTTGACAGGAGACTTTACTTCCCATCTCTGGTGCAGGTCAGGAGGTGTGTGTCCCCCTACAAGACTGGGATTCTACTTGGGTAAAGTTTAATGTAGCACAGATTCTAATTGTTCTTAATAATAAAAACTTGGCGTCAGCTATCAGGGAGTGAAAACTGAAGGATCAGAGAAGCAGAGCAGCCAAGACCCAAGGAGTTCCTGATGGCAGAGGAGTGGTTTCTGGTGGGTCTAGCTGGGGTGTGGATGTCAGTTAAGGATCCCTATATAAGCTGCCCTGGTACACAATAAAGGGGGTATTTTGGGGGGAATTCAAGGATGACCCATGTCTCTGTCTCTTTGTGTATGTGTGTGTTTCAATCTCCAGCCCCTTGCCCAGCTCGTGAAAGGTCCCATAGAGCAGGCCATACCTACAGGAACAGTACCGTAGTACACATAGTACAGGCGCTACAGGACCGTAGTCCATGGAGTAGCACGGACGGTACAAGTCACTAGAGTTCTTACCTCTACCAAAGCTCAGACCAAAAGGGACAATCCTGTTCTCAGACAGCCTCCTCTGACTGACTGCCTCAGACTGCACTGAACTCCTGCCTCCTCACACCTTATATTCCTCTCTGTGCCCAGTCGTATCACTCCTGTCTCTACTTCCCTCGTGCTGGGATTAAAGACATGTAATCCCAAGTGCTGGGATCACCTTTGTGTGAGCTGTTTCTCTTTTCGACTGGATCAATTTCATGTAACCCAGGGTGGCCTTAAACTAGCAAAGATCTGTCTGTCTCCCGGGTGCTGGGATTAAAGTTGTGTGTCACCACTGCCTGGGCTCTAGTGACTTACCTCTGCCTCTGTTTTTGTTTGTTAAAACACAAACAAAATATCACTGCAGTGTTAGGGGCTTAAGTATAACCTTTTTTTCTTTCCACATAATTCACTGCAGAGACACACACGCGCAAAGACGTGCACACAACTATTCATAATAGGTATTCATAAGTATATTCATAAGTATATTCATAATGGCTCCAATGACCATTTGGAAACAGTCCAGATGTCCATTCACAGGTGAGCAGATGAATGAACTATGCTGTCTACATCCCAGAGTACAGTCACCCCTTCCTAACAGATAGACAGGGAGTGGGATTGGGTCTAGGACACTCCCTCCCCACTGCTTCCGAAGTCTAGGGATGCTCCAGTCCCTTAAGAAAATGCCATGAAATTGACAAGCACTCTACACTCACCCTAAGCTTCAAATCTTTTCTAGGATACTTGCCTCACACAAAGTGGGCAGCGAACGGCTGTCACGCTGCATCCTTCAGAGCATAATGACACAAAAGAGGTCCCTGCAAGCTCAACACAGGCACAATCATTGCTAAATAGTTCCCATCTACAGTAGGTTTGAATCCAGGATGCAAAAGGTGTGGTTGGGGGCAGAAGGATGGGCAGCTGTGACGTTCTGCCATAGGTAACTATTGAAACATTCAGAGACATGAATAAACTTCAGAATAATTATGCTGAGTGAAAGGAGCCGCATGGAAGGGGATGCGCAGCCGCAGAAGCCACAGGGGTAGAAATCAGAAGAGTGGCTGCATAGCACTGTGTGATGGAGGGACACCAGGACACCACGTGAAGGGAGGGATGTTCTAGACTCTACAGAGACGGGTATGTACATTGAAGTGCACTATGGCTTCTTTGCTTGCTTTCCTTCCCTTACACAGCTTAGAAAGAAAAGTACTAGACAATACAGGGCAGAACCACTGTTTGGATGGAAGTATCACTCCAGCCCCTGACATTCAATTTGGAAAGCTGGAGTGGAAAGTCCCATTTCAAGTCCCCTCCCCTGGGAGTTGCCTCAGTCCAAACTACACCCGCGAGAAAGACAGGAGGGTGACCTCTCCCCAGGGAAGGTCAAGACCACTCCCACAGGCTATTTAAACTGCCCCCCACCCCAGTCTTTCTGGTTCTCCTTCTCCTTCCTCTTTGAATTTTTCCTGAGGGCCACTCAAGAGCGCTGGCATCCATTAAACCTGGGCTTTGTCTAATTCGGTTTGATTTGGTCTGATTTGGATTATTGTGTCTGCGGAGAGGCTTGTCGGGTCAAAAAAAACTTTACAAAACTTTAACCAAAATTCCTTTAGAGCTTTGTGTGGTGGCATGTGCTGTAATCCCAGCATTCAGGAGGCAGAGACTGAGGGATCTCAAGTTCAAGGCCAGCCCGGGATAAATAGCAAGATTTTCTTAAAGTAAAATTTAAATTTAAAAAAGGAGGGTGGCATTGCTTAGCAATGCAGGGCTTGTTTAGTATGGGTGAGGTCCTAGGTTCGATCCCCAGTATTGCCAATTAATTAACTAACTAAAAAGATTCTTCTAACAACAGAATCTGAATTCAAATTATTTCATCTGATCAGAACAAGTATCTTGGATAGAACCAGCATTGTGGGTTCTCCAGTGCATTCTGTTCCCAGATGAGGACTGAGCGGAACACCTGTTTAGGTAAAGGGAGTGGCAAAGCTTGTCACCATGAGGGACACATCCATTCAAGTCACCCTCCCCATTCATTCTTCTGAGAAAATGGTGTCCACGAAGGAACCGAGGGAAGCCTTCGGGCATCAGTCTTTGACAATGGCTGCTGGAATCACGTCTCCTAATTAAGACTTTGAAACCTTGCTTTCCCTTATAGGAAGCTGCAACAAGAAGAGATATATAATGCTTTGGCTACTGAGTTACTGGGTAGATAACGATTCTATTTCGTAGCTTCAATTTATGTAGATGGACACTGTAGCCCAAAGACACATTCCCTTCAAAGACCATGGGCTGTCGGCTCAACTGGGCGCTTATTCTGAGTTCAGCCATCCCCTGGGTTTAGCGGAAGAGATGAGTGCCTACCTCTTAGCATCCACAGCGACACCCAAATACTGAGAGCTGTGGGTGTTCTGCACCCAACCAAGTTCTGAAAGACTAAAGAAGGAAAAGAAAAAGAGCACAGACCAGCAGCTTAAGGAAGGATGGGTTTGTTTGGGCTCGTGGTTCCGTGAGCTGTAAGCCCGCCACGGTAGGAAGGATATGGCAGTGGTCGCTCCATGGTGTCAAGAGCATGCCGCTAGGACTCCTCCCATCTCCCAGGATCAGAAAACAGAGACAAGACAGGCCCACCAGGGACCCGCTTCCAACAGCGGGACTCCGCCTCCTGAAGGCTCTGCAACCTCCCAAAAGAGCACCACCAGCTGGAGACCAACTGCTCAGATCCAGGTGCTTGTGGGGGGCAGCTTTACTCAAGCCACAGCGGAAGGGGTGGGGTAGGGAGAGGGCAATAGATGAAAGCGGTCTCATCCAACACCCACTGTCCTCCATGCCCACCTCCCACCCCACCTCTGTATCCCCTTCACAGTGCCTTGGGCAGCCCCGTCCCACTGATGTCACGTCTCTCAACACCACCATGTGTCCAAGACACAGCACACACATGGCTACCCGGGAACTCCTCCGAGCACCCTTGGGCCCACTCAGCACTCCATTAAAAGGGTGGCCCCACCTTATTAGCAAGTCTATAGCCTCCGAGGCAGAAGGGTGTCTCTCATCCCATTTATTGGGCATATTATTCTCGTCAGTGGCTTTTAGAGGATTTCGCTAATGCAGGGACGGTACATACCATCACAATTAAGACATAGCTAATAAATTAAGTTTTATGGACATAAATCAGCAGGTATGCCAATTCAGCTGTTACACCGCACTTAGGCATATGCTTCACACCTGAAGATGAGGTCTGCTTCTATTCAGGCGTTGTAATGGCCTTGTTAATGGAATATTAATTACCTCGCAGTTGGACAGCACCACTATCCGCTCCTGCTCTCTTGCCACTGGCGTTCTCAAAGGAAAATGTTTCTCCACCTTTTCACCGGAAAGACATTGAATCTCGGCCAGGCTCACGATCACCTCCAGCAGGCCCATGTAGAATGAGGTTCACGGCTCCTCAGCTCTGCACCCCAAAGTAAGGGAGAAATACGCTTTAGGACATGACCAGGTATTGCTCCCCACTGTGCTCTGGACCCATCAGGAGAAAGATCACCCAAACCTGAACCAGGACAGTGAAAGCATCCAGTCCACTGTCCTCCCAGGACCCTATGGGAGGGATGGAGGCTTGGACTGAGCATAGGGAACTCAGCTCCTCATCAACTGCCTTCTTGTAAGTTGTCATCACCTGGGGGGTTAAACACAGGTGTTTATTTCTCACAATTCTGGAAGCTGGGAGGTCCAAAGTCCAGGTAGAGGCAGATCCAGTTCCTGGTGAAGAGTCACTTCTTGGCCATTTTCCCACAGTATATGCTCCCTACCCCATCCCCAGTTTTCCTCAGTGTGGGCTTTGTTCTCTGAGAGATAGAGGGAAGGAGAAAGGAGAGAAGGACTGAGAGAGGAAGAGAGAGAGGAGAGCAAAAAAGAGACCTTATCTTTCTTAAAAGCCATTCATTCCATCACGTGGGCACCATCCTCATGACTGCTTCTAAACTTCATTACTCTCCAAAGTCTCTACCTCCTTGACAGATTCCCATTGGTGATTAGCATTTCCACGGACGAACATTAAACCTAACACAACTCCAGCTATAACCATCAATACGACCTGAGGCTGCTCACTTACTGTCTTCGGCCTTGTATGTATTAAGAATGAAATCAAAGGTCGGGCAGTGGTGGTGCATGCCTTTAATTCCAGCACTTGGAAGGCAGAGGCAGGCAGATCTCTGTGAGTTCAAGGCCAGCCTGGTCTACAAGAGCTAGTTCTAGGACAGGCTCCAAAGTTACAGAAAAACACTGTCTTGAAAAAATAAAACAAACAAACAAACAACAACAACAACAAAATATAATTAAGTGGCCATGGATAAAGCACGGATCATGGACCATCTTGTGATTGTCTTTTCAAGACTATGGAAGAAACACACTCCACAAGGAGATGGATAGATTTAGTCTGAAAGGAAGAGAGGGTTCTGAGTGCCAGTCATCCTAGATGGGTTGTTAATTCGGGGTGTGAGAAAAACTGGGGAGGGATACTAGGAAGAAAGATGGGTCTGGCAGCGAAGCATACGCCACACAAGCATGAGGATCCAAGTTCCTTTGCTAGTATGCATATAAAAGCCAAACATGGTGGTGCATATCTGTAATCCCAGTGCTGGGGAGACTGAGACAAGATGATCCCAGGGGCTTGCTGTCCAGACAGTCTAGACTAATCAATGGACTCCAGATTCATTGAGAGAAAACAAGGTTGGAAGAAACTGACCTCTGACCTACACACACAAACACACACACACACAGTAAACAAATAAATAAATAAATGGAAAAAAAAAGTGTAAAGCAAAAGAGAGCCAGAGTCGCACACAGAAGTAGGACATATAGAATGCCTTCTCCACACAGAGGCATGAAGAAATTTTGACCCTAAATTTTGCAGCATGAAAAGGCTGGAGAAGAGTTGGGTGACCAACCGTGCCAGCTGAGCCAGAAAGAACAGGACTGTACATTTCAATCAGCAACACCAGAAACGGTAGCCACCCAGATGCCAGCACGTCACAGCAGCAGCCACAATCAGGGCACTTAGAATCTGGAGCCCTGTTACTATGGAGGACTAGATTTTTGGACACCAGGAGTAGAACCATGCCATGAGAAAAAAAAAATCATATACTTGAAGAGGGGGGTTTCCATCAAGAACATAGATAACAACCAAATTAATGTCTTAGCTACTTTCACTGTTGCTGTGATAAAATGCCCTGGAAGCAGGAAGGGAGAAAAGGCTAATTCGGTCACACAGATCAAGAGTACAGTCCATCATGGCCAGGAAGCCAAGGTACCAGGAGTTTGAAGCAGCTGGTCACATTGTAATAGTCTGTCCTGTCCCTTTAAGAGACAAGCCCCACCCACTCCCTCCACGGCCTACCACCAAGGCAGGTGGATCTTCCTTTTGCTTCCAGTCTAAGCTCTTCCTTTTCCATCTTTCTCCCAAAGAGGTAGCTTCTGCCTTGCTCTCTTCTCCCCACTTCTCCCCTTTCCCTGCCCTCTCTGCTCTTTCTCCTTCTTCCCTTCTTCCCTTCTCCTCTTTCCCCTTCCCTTCCATAACCCACTAAATAAATATCCTCACCTCACTCTGCATGGCATGCCTATCCATCTGTCTCTCACCCACAGTGGCTGTGGCTCCTTGTGGGACTGGCTGCCACACGAGGTCTCTCACCCACCATGCAGCTCCCTGCCTGGACTGGCTGCCCCTCATGACCCATCTTGGTCTCATGGCCCCCTGCCCACTGCCGCCACTCGGGGACCTGCAACATTTTATTTTTACCAAAACACACATGGCATCTGCAATCGGGAAACAGAAGGATGAACGCATGCACGCTAGTGCCCATATTCCACCTCTCCAGGACTCTCTTAAGATGGATCTTCCCACAATGACTAATGTCATCAAGATAATCTCCCCCAGACCCAGAAGCCCATCTCCTAAGTGATTCTAGATTCTTCCAAGTTGACAATTAACACTAATAACCACAGCTCGTAATCTCTTCCCTGGGATCAGTTTGTGCCCAAAAACCTGCTAAGCAAAGGAAAAAAACCCAACCAGGCAGGACCCAGCACACCTGCACCTCAGGCCCAGTTCTGCTTCCAAACCTCAAAATAGTAGGAGACAACTCCCAGCCTGGCCAGCTGTCTCTCAAACACCATTGTCAAAGTCAAGCCACCTTTTTCTCTGAGAAACACCAGTTAAGATAGTTTCCCCTCCTTTTCTTCATCGGGGGTTGGGGGGGGGGGGAATGTCTCAGACCAGGGATCGTAGGATTTCTTCCTTTGCATCCATTTAGCATATCAATTCCCACATTTTCTGCTTGAACTTCAGAGCAAAGGGAAGCTGAACCTTTGCCTATTTAATGCATGCTTTTGCATATTTTCCTGGACTCTTTCAGTTCCCCTTTGCCCTTGAGTTGCCCATCACAGACACACTCTGCTCCTGGGCTTAGGGGAGGCCCTTTCTCTCCACAACTAAATGGGCATTGACCCATCCCACACACTGCCTACTCCTTCAACAGAGAGTTAGGAGTCCAGGGCCAAAGTGGGCTGCAGAAATGGGGGAAGAGAATGAGGGATTAGGTGACTGGACACCAGACAGGGGTTATAGGTCTAGGCAGTCAGAGAAAAAAATGTGATTTGGTTTGCAAAGCTGATGGAGTGGAACCAAAACAGCTGATGCTCTGTGATGAGCCCATGTTCTGCGTGGGTCAAGTCAAGAGGCTCTCACAATGTAGGGGATTGCGCTCTGTAATACCGGGCACCCAGTGCTCATCTTCTGTCTCTCTACAATGAAGCAGGGGTGGGGGAGAGGGAGGGAGAGAGAGGAGAGGGAGGAGAGAGGAAGGAGAACAAATAATGGAAAGAAAGAGAATCTTTCTGGAGCTTTCAGTGTGAGATCAGTCTTGGACCACTTGCAGGAGCAGCAAATATAGCAGGAGTCTGTGGCCAAGCAAAGTTACATGACCAGCCAGAAAGCAAACACCAAGTGTATAAGCCAGTTCTATAGTCTCCTTTAAGGTAAGCCCCAATGACATAAGAGTCTCCCACCAGGCCCCACCTCTGCTCCCAATAAGACCACTCTGGTGACCCAATCCATTAATGCATAAATCTTTGGGGGATATTTGTCCAAACCACAGCACCAGAAGAAATCTTCAGAAGCATCCCAACCAGCTATTGCTGAGTAACAGACGGCCTCCATCAGGAATCACAGTAAGCATCCATTCAGGGCAGACATCTGCAGGTCATAGGTGGTGTGTATCTCATTCAGGCTGGGGTTGGCTGCCCAAATGCAAATGTTGGTTCCGCCTGGGTGTGTCACATTCTATTCCCTATTGGTCAACAAGCTTCCTGAGGTATGTTCTTCTCACAGTGGTGACGGAAGCGCAGAGAGGAAATGAGAGCCCCTCCATGACTTCCGTCCCTGTCATTGGCTAAAGCTAGAAGCTAGTCCCATGCCAAGCCTTAAGGTAGAGAGGTCCAGAAAATACATCGTTGCCTTAGTGGGAAGAACTGCAAAGGCTATGGGCAAGGGCGTAGACAGACAGAGAGGGTGAGAATCAGGGTCAGCAGTACAGACTGCAAGGGGAATGTGTCCTGTGGCGTCTTCATGTGTCTTCACTCTCCCTAGCAACCTTGACACGTGGTAATTTTATTTCCATTTTACATATGAAATTCAAACTCAGAAAGAAGAGAAATGGCTCAGCCACTCCACCAACAAGCATAAAAGCATGAAGACATATAAACCAATCTTTCAGCCAACTCCACGTCCATAATCTGCTCTAAGCCCAGTGTTCCTTCAGAAGATATGAGACCTTTTGAGGTGTTCTAAAGGGTCCCCCATTGTTGGTGGTCAGCAACAAACTTCACGGAAAAAAAAAGGACTTCAATGTTCCTTTTTTTATGATTCTTTAGAAATTTCATGTAGTCTTTTGAGACTGGGCCTCTCTGTGTAGTCTTGGATGTCTTGAAACTCACCCCATTTGACCAGGTTGGCCTTGAACTCACAGAGATCCACCTGTCTCTGCCTCCTGAGGGCTGGCTTTAAAGGCATGCACTGCCGTGCCTGGCTTATACAGCATATTTTATCATGTTCTTTGCCGTTCCCTGACTACTCCCCAATCCTCCCCTACTGTCTTAGGGTGACAATAGTTGTTACTGAGCACCATTACCAAAAGCAATTCATGGAGGAGCAGGTTTATTTCGCTTGCTCTTCCATATATCATTCACTGTTGAAGGCTGTCAGGAGCTCACACAGGGCAGGACCCCAGGCAGGAGTTAATGCAGAAGCCATAGAGGACTGCAGAGAACTGGCATTCTCCTTATGGCTTGCTCTGCCAGATTTCTTATAGAACTCAAGACCACAAGCCGAGGGATGGCACCACCCACAATTACTAACTAAGAGATTGTCTTACAGGCTTGCCTAAAGCTGGTCTTGTAGAGGCATTTTCTCAATTGTGCTTCTTTCCTTTCAGATGACTCCATCTCGTGTCAAGATGACATAAAACTAACCAGCCTACCCTCTTCCTACCCATCCAATTTTGTGTTCTTTCTCTCTCTTTATTTAAAAAAAAAGTGACCAAAAATTGCAGTCTGATTTGTGTTGGCCAAGTACTCCTGAGCATGGGGCCCACCATGGAGTGTGGCTGACACATACAGGGATACTCCATTGGAGAGAACGATTTTCCTTCTGCAAGCAGCTATCATTTGCAAATCACTTCCTGGCTAGAGGTGGAACTTTGTGCCTAATTCCCCTCCATCCTGGGATTCTGTCTAGGGTGAGCCTGTGCAAATTCTGTGCATGCTGTCATAGTTTCTATGAGTTCACTCAGGTGTCTGCCCTGTTGAGTTTGGGAAATGCTGGTTCCTTAAAGGACTTGCTAACACTTCAGCTTTGGCTTACATCTCATCTCATGGAGTGGGCCTTCAATCTACTTTTGAAGACGTGGTTGGTTAACCCCTTCACATTGTGTCATGGTTGCAACCATGGGCATAGCTTGCAGGTGGGTCATTATTACAACTCACTCAGCTGGGGGAATTTGATGATGACCTCTCTCCTCCAGTAGTGTACACAGCACCTTTTAGCACTCTGGATGCTAGCCAATAAGGATGAAGCTTCTAGTCGGATTTCAGTCAAAACTCCAGCTAAATTTCTCCATGTTCGGTTCCAGAAGAATACATTGTGTTCCATAATAGGATCTTACTGTCAAGTTATTAAAGG